GGGGGGGTCACCTCCAGGGACACCTCCAGGAAGCCTGAGAGATCCAGTTTCCTGACTTTTTTGGGGGGGAGATTTCAGTTCTGTCTTGTAATTGGAGAGTCAATCAGATTCCTGTGCCATGATGTGTGAGAGAGATGACACAGAGGATTTTGAGGGTTCCCCTACATTGCACAGAGGAATGACATCCAAGTGAAGTTTATAATTAATCAACAACATTAGCCAAGAACTCTGGCCTTGTGCATCCTTTCAGAGCTGTAGAAAATTTATTATGTTGTTACTTGTATCTGTGGATTATATTTGACAGCATGATACTCTACAACAATCAGATTTCACTGATGGAAGTGTTGCATCAAGGTGATGGCTGTATGCAAGGAGAATAATCTTTGCTCCAATTTTCTGGTGGCTGTTAAAAACAAACTCTCTTTAAAAGCATTCATCTGAGGTTGACCCAGCTAACATCCACAACTAGCACTCCTTTAGGTTGTTCAAGGGCATTTTGTTCCTATTGTGCTGCGTTGACTGTCTTTCCTAGAAGCCAATAAACCTGAAACCATTAGTGAACCAAAGAAGCCCAGATATAGAAAGCACCCATATTTGGCAAGTGTCCTGTAAGGGGTTCCAGAATTGATGGATGGCTCTAATGTTGAAAAGATCTCTTGGAGAAGTAGAAGCTGTGAGCAGCATGCATCTAGCAGTTTTATCTGTTAATGATGCTATTCACTACTTAGAAGCCTTTACACTGTGTCCTGCCTCCTCATTTTTTCATCTTATGGTAAAGATGTGAAAATCTTTTGGTCTCTTTTTATTTGAATCCAGCTTTGCTTCCCATCTTCATTTCATACTGGATTGCAAAAGTTTCTGTTTTCATACTACACTGAAATTTGCACAATATTTTTACATACTTTCTTTAACATGTATGTTGATTTGTGTGTTTATCTTATATATGCAACTATTTTTCATTGGCAAAAACAGGAGTGAAAATTGTGTGACAGGGAGTATTAGTCCCAACAGGAATAACCTCAGATGTAGATCATAGCAAGGTGCCACAGGTTTTTGTCCTGGGCCAGTGCCATTCAACATCTTCATTCAACATCTTTCAAGAAAGCAGTAAAGATGGATCTCTTTCGGCAGGCCTTCCCGGAATAACTGTCGGCCCACGGCTGGGCCCCATTGTCCGACTCCCTACGCCACATCTGTTTTTAATATTGTATTTTTAATCAATTTATGATTTAATCCTATTTTAAGGGGATGGGGGGGAGGGGGTTCTGGAGAAAGGGAATGTTTTAACTATGTTTGTTTTAAATTTTGTTGTTCCCCGCCCCGATTGCCTAGCAGAGGGGCGGGCTATAAATAAAAATTTATTATTATTATTATTATTATTCAATGACTTGGATGATAGAGTAAAGGGCAGGCTTATCAAATTTGCAGATGACACTAAATTAAGAGGGGTAAGCTAATACCCCTGAAGACAGGATAAGAATTCAAAATGACCTTAACAAATTAGAATGCTGGGCCAAAACTAACAAAATGAGTGTAGAATACTACATTTGGGAAGTAAAAATAAAATGCACAGATATAGGATGGGTGACACCTAGCTTGACAGCAGTACTTGCAAAAGGGATCTAGGAGTCTTAGTAGACCACAAGTTGAACATGTCAACAGTGTGATGCAGCTGCTAGAACAGCCAATGTAATTCTAGGCTGCATCAATAGGAGGATATTGTGTAGAATGAGGGAAGTATTCTTCTCTGGTCAGACCTTAACCTAAATACAGTGTCCAGTTCTGAATATTACAATTCAAGAAGGATGTGGACAAGCTAGAGCATATCCAGAAGAGGGTGAAAGGTCTGGAAACCATGCCATATGAGAAGAAGGAGGATGGCCCTTGTGATCTCTTCTAACTTATGAGTCTATGATCAGTTGACAGTATAGACAGAACAGTCCCATGAATACTGATTACTGTTATCAACTCAAGAAGATTTCAGTCCAGAAATAAAGAGCTAAAGGTTGCCAGCATACAACACTGCTCTATATTCATGCCTTTTATAAAATAAACAGTGAACCAGAAGTGACTTTTGTTCACTTCCTAATGTTAAAAAAGTCCTCTCCTGGGATTAGTATGTCCCAGGCATGCCCCAAAATATGATGAAAATTTTTCCCATGTGACATGAGAGCCAAAAACAACAACCTCCAACCACCTGTTTTTTGAGGTGGGGATAGATAGCTGTCCAAGATGTCCTGAAGGATCAATGCAATTCCTTAGTGTCCCACAGATAAACTTTTAACTTTCACAGTTAAAATACCCCAAATATGATATTAATATATTCTTCCTTTTTTCAATATGGAATAGTTAACCATATTTTCAAGACAGCAGATGAAAAGCCAGATAACTGCTTGTTCGAAAGCTATGCAAGGGCATCAGGTTAGGCAGAGTTGGATGGATGCAGCTTCTCATAATTAACATTGTGCTTCCTGGAGACTTATGGAAAATGTAGCTACAAGTGTGCACACTAATTGTCTGTAAATGGTACAGAAAACACTTGGGTTGCATGCTTTAAATCTCTGTCAGA